TATGAACAAATGATGGAAGTGCTGAAGAGGGACAGGGATTGTCAGAAGAGACCTAAAAATAATAGCTAACCTGTAATGAAATCAATCAGTGGTTCTCCGAATAGATGCAGAATATACAGATCAGGTCAAAATCTTAAGGGGAGTGAGACAGGGGTGCATAATTTTAAAACTGATATTCAATCTGTACTCAGTGTACTTGGAGCACATTTTTGAAGAGGCTCTAAAAGATATTGATGAAGGCATCTCAATAAATGGAGCTTAATAACCTACGGTGTGCAAATAATAACAATAGTGTTTTCCAATACCATAGATGGGCTGCAAAACTTAATGAACAAAATAACGGAAACAAGTAGAAAATATGGACTGGATATAAACACCAGCAAAACAAAGCTAATGATCATCAGCAAGGAAAACATAATTGGAACAAATCTGTAGGTGAACCAAATGAGAATTGAACTTGTCTCACATTACAACTATTTGGGAACTATAATAAATGAGTCGTGGGACAAAACCCTAGAGATTAAATGCCACATCGGAAAGGCAAAAAGTTTCTTCTTGACTATGAGTTCTATGTTCACGTCCATAGCCTCACCCTAGAAACAAAAATAAGGCTCCTTAAATGTTACGTGTACTCATGCTTCTATACGAAGGTGGAAACTCTGTCAAAACTTCAGGCTTTTGCTATGATTATACAGAAGGATCCTGCAGATACTATGGTCAGACAAAGTCATCAATGAATAAGTAGTAGAGAGGATGAATACAACTGCGTCTTTGGTCAAAATGGTGAAGGTTGCAGTACTTGGAACATATAATGAGAAATTAAGGCAGACATGAGCTACTCCAATGCATTTTGCAAGGTAAAATTGAAAGAAAAAGGGCTCCAGGGTGAAGAAGAATATCCTGGATTGCTAACCTGAGCAGTACCCTAAGAAGAAGAAGAATTAAGACAAGTAAAATGGGGAGACCATTTATTGTGATCTAGAAAAATGATGGCAAATCTCGTCCCCTATAAGCTAATAGAAAACGTCCACAGTTGTGGAATTATAGGTCTATGTTCAACATTGGATGTAACAACTGATGCCAATGTTGTACAATTTGAACAAATAGTGTTCTTAGTTAGTTTGTCACTGATCATTAGATGCCCAGACATGCCAATTTAAACAAATAATGAAAAAGATATATTTCAAGTCTACTAAAATACACAATTATTCCTTTTGATAAAAATTGTCTATAAAGTATTTTTTTTATTTTCCATGACAAAAATAAAATAATAAATTTATTGAAAATCGTATTTGTACTTAAAATTTATTTTTAAGTATAATTATAATTATAAATTCTAAAACTTTTGAATTGCTCTATATTTATATATAAACGAAATTAGTAGGGTTTCTTACAACTTCACACGGTCGAATCGATTTTTGTGCATTCCTAACTTTCGTTCAGATGCACCAATAATTTGTTTTCAACCCTTCGTACATAACCTATAAAATTAGTATAAATACCTGATTTAATTTTCATCTTAAACTAAAACTTTACTTTTTCCAAAATAATATTAGTATATTCGACTTACCACGTCAGATATCTCTTAAACAACGAATAATTTTGTCAAAAACTGAGAGAAACACACGCGAGAATAACGTCGGCGCCATTCTTGACCCGGAATCAGACGTTGTGGCGCTGTTGCGGAGGGGTTGAAAGGGGATTAAACGTGGTAAGAAGGGTGAATGCTCGACAGTGGACATGTGCTTGGTTTTTCTCGGTGACGAGTAAGAAAACTTAATATTTGCACTTTCGCTTTAATTGTAATAAAATGTTTATACATGAAAAATAATTTGTGGTGTTAGGGGTGGTACTATACGATAGCTTTCGGCATTGCCGAACTATTTTGCTTTCACATTCTAATTTTCACTGATTTTCAATATCGTCAAACGAATTTCAGACGACATCATAAACGACGACGTAGGTATATGTATTAGGATGGGCCGAAAAAGGGCAAAAACATTGTATTTTGGGATACTTTAAAATACAATGTTAATTGTTGGGAATTAAATTATTTTCGACCAACCCCCCGGGGGCCTAAAATTTTTTTTTTATATTCCGTTCCCAAATTGTTGAGAGCACGAAATTTGCCTCAAAGTCATAAAACGGTCGTAAAATTTGTATCATCATAGGCGTTCCTGAGGTGTTTATTCATTAAAATTAATGCGTTTTACATTTATTTTCCTTTCCAAAATGTTTATCAATATTAATAATGTTTTAATACTAATATATTTAGCAAAAAACAATTAAAACTTTCACGGCTAATGTTGGTTATTATATTAATAAGAATAAGAATTTAACCATTAACAATTTTGTAAATAAGAATAACTTATCTCTTTGAATATTTCAATACTAATCTTCGCGTTTAATCACTTTACTAGAAAACCTGGAATTCATATACGAAGGTACTATGTGTTGCAAGATAATTAGGATGGAATTCTCCAGATTTTTAATAAGATAATGAGTATAAAGATGTCGGCTTTGGCCACGTGCCTCGTCTGTTCAGTTTATATTCGAAACTGAACTTGAAAGGGTGGTGTTATTACGAACGAAAACAATTTTTTGTTTAGTACGTTTTTGATCGCATGTAATTTCCGTCTCGTCGGTGTTTCCGCGTCTACGGCAGTAATTAGCGTTTCGAATATTTCTTTTGCGAATTATATGCAGTGCGTGAGTGAATTCTTTATTCCATATAACTACGAACATATACGTACCTTTCGCTCGTGCTCGTTTTGTTGGATTGTGTGTGATGGCTTCATCATCAACATCATCAAATTTAACACCGGTACTGTTGCGTACAATCAGTAAGTCTGTTTATTCACCAAGAGAGAAAACTATTGTCCTGAATGTTCACGATGCTCTGGTTTCTTAGAATCCCACAAACACTGTTCGCAACATAGTCGAAAGTTGTGCCAACATGACTCGCGTAGGGGAGTCACCTATATATAGGTTCCTATCAAAAAAAACACGGTATAGCTAACCCAAACACAAACGAACACTTAAAGAGAGGGAAAAAGCCTATTAAAATTGATGAATTTGCCAAAAATGGTATTCGAAGGAAAATTCATGGAATTTTTTTTTTAAGAAATACCAAACCTAAACAAAATTTTACAAGAAGTTAGAGACGACCCGGATTTGCCTCATATCGGACGAACTAAATTGTGACAAATTTTAAAAGAATTAAATTTCCGGTGGGAGAATTCAGACTGAAAATCACTTTTGATTGACAGGGAGGAGATAATATGTTGGAGAAGAAATTATTTAAGATCCATACAATCGGCTAAGAAGGCAACTTCCAGATACGTGGTAACTCAGGTCATACTCTAAAAAAAATTTGGTCAGATAAAAATATATTAAGCTCCAGGCAAGCCTTTATGGAAGGTTGGTCTACTGGTATCTCCCCACCTTCTGGTAAAGGCAGTAGATTAATAATTTCTCACATTAGCAGTGAAAAAGGATTTGTTAAGCATGGTTTGTTGGAATTTCAGTCCAAAAGCACAAAAGACTATCACGAGGAGATGACAGCTGATGTTTTCGAAGAGTATTTTGTGCAGATGATTGAACACATACCACCAAATTCAATTATAGTATTAGATAATGCACCTTATCATCCACGACTAGTAGAAAGACTTCCAACGACTGCGTGGAAGAAATAGGATATTCGTGACTGGCTGCGGAATAAGTATCTGCCTTACGAAGATGGAATGTTAAAAGCAGAACTTTTTAAAATTGCCCGGCAACAACTAAGTTCAAGAATACGTAGTTGACAAAATGGCGGAAAGGCGAAACATCATAGTCCTTAGACTTCCACCCTACCACTGCGAAATAAATTCAATTGAACTCATTTGGGCACAAATAAAAAGTTATGTGGCTATAAAAAATACGTCATATAAAATACAAGCTGTACGTGAATTGTTATACGAGTCTTTACAACACATTACAGAACAAAACTGGAAAGATGCAGTAAGACATGTAATAGAAGAACAAAAAATGTGGGATCTTAATAACATAATTGATGCGACCGTATAGACACAACCGCTTATTATAACCCTCAAGATGACTCGGATTCCGAAGTTGATCCTATTTATTTTGAATTTGAATAGTTTTCTAATCGTAATAATATAAGGTAAGTAATAGTAGTTGTAATCGTAAGGTAAAGGGGAAAGGCGCAAAATGTCGTCCTGTCAAAATGTTCAATGTGTTTTAAATGTATCCAGTTTTTTTTTAAATCCTGAGAAAACTAAAAAGCATTTTTAAAAAATTTAAAGGCAGAATGAAATATTTATTAGAATAAATAAAAAGTTTCGTTTTCATACAATATTTTCAATTAAAAATTATACTATATTTTCTCTTTTATTTTCACCCCTGTTACATAACATATTAAAATAAACATTGTAGAAGTTTTCAGGGACTTTCTGCCTTCAGTTATAATGTAATCTTTCATTCTGGGTTTAAATTTTTCAAAAATATTTATTATTTTTCTCTGATTCAAATAAATGTTTCAATCAAATTCAAAATACCTTCGTAATCCGATTATAAGGTTGTTTGTTGTATTGTATTTCTTCAGATACAAGGTGGGTTAGTCGAAAATATTTTAAACTGTCAGTTTTAGGTTGGTTTTTACTATTTACTTATTAGTAAATAGTAAAGGGAGGCAGTTTTAAACTGCCTCTCTTCTAAAATCGTCTTTTTTGACTTAAGCCTACGTTCTTGCGAACCGGCGATATATAAAGAGTGAAGGTAGTGACATCATATGTACCTAAATTCATAAATAAAGGTTTAAAGTGTGCCCTATACTCTGCTGTTGCAAGTATCCTCACTACTCTTTTTTGTAGTTTAAAAATTCGATCTGCGTGAGGAGAATTATCCCAAGCAGTTATTTCGTACTGTAAATGGCTAAGGAATAATTCAAAGTAGCACATTCTAAGGGTTCTTTTAGGAATCATATAAACTAAGTTGCGTATTAAAAATAGTTACTCTTTATTGCAAATATTGCACATATTCTTAGGACATAATTATAACTACATATATAAAAATATTTACAATCATTGAGCCTTATTCTACTATCACCCGCATGTTGATCACCAAAACTAACTCACACAAAATTTCGTGACAGTTGCGTGAAACTTACATTAATCTCACCTGTATAATTTGAGGTGTCTCTCAACGTAAATTTAACGTAAAAATATCACATAGTTGCTTTCGTTAAAGATCACAGCTTCACAAAGAAAATTTCTTTTCCATGTGGAATTCTACCAACAAAATCAGGTGAAATTCACGTAATACTTTTCGTAACTTGGTAGAACATCTACCAACTTTTTAATTTTTTTACGCTTCGGAGAATTTATTAATGATTTCGTTCAAACTCGTGGACGTGCCCACGACAAGTCCAAAGAATCCCAACAAGATGATAAGACAGTTCTTGATCATGGTAAATATAAACGTCTTGCCGGTACGTTGGTGCCAGTAAGTGCCCATGTCCACCATAGCCGGGATGAAGAGTCCTAGTCCTGAGAGAGTTAATGCTCCGAATAGGGAGATGAAGAGATCAATGTAAGGAACTGCTACCGCAAGGACAACTGAAAGAAATTTCCTAGAATTAATATATAGCCAGTGATACTCAAAACGAAATAAGAATTGTTCTAAAAATAAAAAATAACATTGTCATATGTCTTGTCTTGATTTATTCTTAGTGTGTACATTTCTATCTCCGTTTTTATTTCGTTTCTAGTATGATCGTGATGAAACAAAAGGTGGATTGTCACAATGTGCATATTGGTGTAACACTTTGGCCTCAAACAAACTTTTTTGAGCCTCACATGACGGTATTTCCCATTTATCATTTTTTTTGTGAGTAAACCTTTTGCAGGACAATACTTTCTATATAAATGTTGTGTATCTTCAGTACTTCCCCAAATTCCCAAGTCATAAGTAACGTATATAACTCCAACTGCAATTGCTACTTTTAAACCGAATAGAAGGAACCCTAAAAGACCACCGTTTTTGTTAGCAGCTTTTATGATTTTCTGACTGTTGCATGGAGACTGCATTATCTGCACCTATACATATTTTAATAACTCATGGAGGTACTCTGGATATAGTAACTTCGTACGTAGTGGATATTTATATTTATTTTTATAATCATTCTTCTTACCTATTTATTTTTATATTTTACAGCACTTTTCTAGTTTCTTGTTTCATACTCAAATAAAGGACTTATAAAATGTTTGAAAACGCGAATAACTGCATCATTTTTGGACAGTATTACAATATTTAATCATCTTCTTCTTCTTCTCTTCTTTACATGCCATCTCCGCTACAGAGGTTGGCAATCATCATGGCTATTCTGATCTTGGATGCTGCCGCTCTGAAAAGTTTGATAGATGTGCAGCCCTACCATTCTTTCAAGTTACGCAAACATGAGATTCTTCTCCTTCCTACACTTCTCTTGCCATGGATTTTCCCTTGTATAATTAATTAAAGTATGTTGTGTCTTTCATTACGCATAACATACCACAGGTATTGCAGCTTTCGTGTCTTGATAGTTTCCAATATTTCCATTCTTTTGTTGACTCTTATGACTTCGTTGTTTGTTACATGCTCGGTCCATGATATCTTCAGGATTCTTCTATACACCCACAGTTCAAATGCTTCCAACTTTTTAATAGTCGACGCGTTAAGTGTCCATGCTTCTATCCCGTAAAGCAGAGTCACTGCTATATAACACCTACAAGAAAATATAACACCTTACCAGCCTAACTCTCAGTCTAATTTCAGTTCTCTTGCACAAAGTACTTTTCTCATTTTATTTAAGTTTGTGCTTTCTCTATTCAAACTTTGATTTCTTTGGAGTAATTGTTTGTGTGATTAATTATTATGCCAAGATAATTACAGTTTTCAATTTTTTCTTAAGTTTTAACGTTAATTGTCAGGATTTCATCATTATTTTACCACTTTTTCCTGTTTATTCGCTGGCGAGCGCCATTTAAGAATGGCTGATTTTTTTCAGGTTGTCTCTCATTCGACAGTTCAATAAAATAATATTGATTGTAAAAATTCTTCATCATTCCAGTTGTATTTGATTGTACAGGATCAAAAATGTTCGCACGACTAGTTAGGCAACACTTCTAACAATGCAATACTTGTACTGTCGCTCTGTCACAGCAAAAAATGTTTCTTTCTTATATTGTCGCTTTATGACTTCATTTAGAAAGTAGTGGAATATTCATTACAGAAATTATAAACAATAAATGATTTATAAAGTTATACTTACAACAAAAAGTAACCAAGAAAACTCTCGTGACGTATTCCAAAAGTACCAAATGGTTTGATCCGCTAAGCAATGGTAATAAATATATGTCCCATACAGTTTTAATGGCAGGATACAATTGAAGACCGTGAGTGACGTAAATGGACATAGACAATAAAATTCTGCATATTTGGCCTGGTCTGAAAATAAAAATTTGACATTAATGTTTTATTACATTATTTACCATTCTCTATTTAAAATTTATTGATAACACAATTGTAGCAATAATTTATAATTATTATTGTATATTATTTACATGCAGTTTTTTATATATTACTTTTGTAATATTTAAAAATCCTATGCAAAGAAAACCTAGTTGAAGAAAAGCAGTTAAAAACAGAATGACTAAGAAATCAAAACAAAACTCGAAAGTTTTACAGAAATTTAAACAAAATGAGTTAAGAGTTTAGGCCAACAGTAGGGAGCTGTAGGGATGGAGATGGAAATATCCTAAGTGATACCCCAAGGTAAGGTAAGATAAGGTCCCCAAAGATATCACAAGAACACGAAATATGCAATTAAATATAAGAGTAAACAATAAGAACATCCAAAAGGTCCCCAAGGTCAGATATCTCGGTAGTTGGATAACTGAAGATCTAGATCCCGACATAGAGATACGTAGCAGGATTGAGCAAGCCAGAACAGCATATGAGAACCTTGCTAAGCAAGAGCAGCCTTAACTTAATACTTTGATATCGCTTTAAGATCGAGAGGAGTATGCCAGAATTGTCGCCAACATCCACTAATTGAATAGGGCACCATACGAAGAAGATGAACATCGCCGAAATCAATGAGCAACTGTTGCGGATGCAACTAATGTCGATGCAGCTTAAAAGCACAGAAGAACATTTTTAAAAGTGCTCTTCTTAAGTTTGATGAAGCCATACTTCTCTGATCGCGTTAGCATAGAGTAATTGTTAAGTGATATAAAATGGTTTCTGGCAAAATACAACAAATCAACAGAAAGCAATGAGGAGGAGCCTTCTGCAAAGATATGAGCGAGGCCATTCATTCAAACTCGAGTCACAACGATCATCTGCTGAAGTTGCAAAAGGTCAGTGTGCAAACAACTTATGACAACAGTTGTTAAACACTGATTTCTGCAAGTAGTGGATACAACAAACTAACCATACACATGTGAGGTTTACATTTCAAGAAATTTTTTCCGAAATTCTTTCTCTGTTGAAGATTTTGTCCCTTTTCGAAAATTGTATTATTTTTATATATTTCATTAAAACAGTAAAAAAATCAAAGTAGCAACTTTTCTTATCTCTCTGTGTAGAAAATACACCTATGCGAGATTCCAGAGCCTAGTTAAAGGGTAATAACACAATATAAAATCAAAATTTGTCGACTTATTCACCATAAAGACTTGTTCTACCACATAATATGAAAGACCAGTATTTAAAAACACAAAACACTTTGGAGCCAGTTTTGTAATGAACCTGTTGTTCTATATTAGATAATAAAAACGGGTTGAAGTATTTATTTATTTAGGTGTTAAGTACCCATACACGAATTTACTTCTTGTTTACATAATTTTGATTGATTTATCGCGTTCAAGGACTGGTGCCAGCTCCAGTTGTACCACATTTTTATGTATAATAATGGTTTAACAACAGGTGTAATACAAGTATGTAATAAAAACATAAAACCAAAGGGATAACAAAAACCGGAAACATTCCTTTTAATTAATTGCTTGTTGAAGTTTGTAAAAACTAAACTCAATTTAAAGTTTTCCGGTAGTCCAGTGAAAATATAAAATAAATTAAATTTAATTCATAATTAAATAATTGGATAAATTATCAATCGTCCATTGAAATGTTACATTTTTTAGGCCTTATGGTGCATTTCTACAGGAGGCAATTTAAATTGTATTTATGTGTTGGATGAATAATTAAAAGCTTATGTTCAAGTTTGTCTCTGGTCGTCACCCTATTCCCCCGGCCGACATCTTGCAAAAAGTGTGCAAAGAGTTTTCGCGCTGTTTCTCGTAAACTAGCAATCCTGCAGAAAATTTTATTCGACATTATTTGTAGGAAATTAAATTATCTACAACTTTATTCTTATTACTTTTTATTGTAAAATGAAAATTATAAAAGTTATAAACAAAAATAACTAAAGATTTTGAAACAAATTTTCTTTTGGGCTTTTAATTTTTTTTTCTGGCAATCTTACAAAAAAAAATGACATCAAAGCAATATTATATAGGGTTGTTTAAAGAATAATTTTCACTATAAAATTTGTTTCATTTAATTAATTACTTTGGACTTTACATCGGTCCGAAATTGACTATGTTCTTGAATACTCGACATCTTGGAATAAGGGGGGAAAAGTTTTGTCGCGCTGTATCTCGTAAACTAGCAGCCCTAGAGACAATTTTATTCGAAATTATTTGTAGCAAATTAAATTGTTTACAACTTTATTCCTATTACTTTTATTGTTATTATAGGCTGAATCTGATGCAGATGCAGTCATCATCCGTTCTGCGCTTCTTCTTCTTCTTCTTTCATCTACGTTCCATCTCCGTTGGTGAAGGTTGGCAGTCATCATGGCTATTTTGATCTTAGATGCTGCCGCTTTATATAGTTCGATTGATGTGCATCCGTATGATTCCCTCAAGTTACGCAACCGTGAGATTCTTCTCCTTCCTACACTTCTATTGCCCTGGATTTTCCCTTGTATATTAATTGACGTATGTTACATCTTTTATTACGCATAATATGCCCCGGTATTGCAGCTTTCGTGTCTTGATGGTTTATAATATTTCCATTCTTTTATTGACTCTTCTTATTGCTTCGTTGTTCGTAACATGCTTGATCCATGATATCTTTAGCATTCTTCTGTACACCCACAGTTCAAATGCTTCTAACATTTTAGTAGTCGACGCGTTCAGTGTCCATGCTTCTATCCCGTAAAGCAGAGTCGAGAAAATATAACACCTTGCCAGCCTCACTCTCGAGTTTAATTTCAGTTCTCTTGCACAAAGTACCTTTCTCATTTTATTGAAGTTTTTTTGTGCTTTCTCTATTTGAACTTTGATTTCTTTGGAGTAATCGTTTGTATGATTAATTATTGTGCAAAGATAATCGTAGTTTTCAACTTGTTCTAAAGTTTTACCATTAATTATCAGGCTTTCATCATTATTTTGGATTTTTGATATCCTCATAAATTCAGTTTTCTTGATGTTTATTGATAATCCATATTCTTCTCCATACTCAACTGTCTTGTTCATTAGCTTTTGGAGGTCTTGGAGGTTCATCATCTGGTTTTTCTTATTATTCGAAGCGAATTTAAAAAAACCAACTAACAAAAAATGAAAGAAAACAGTAATGTTTAAATTGTTTTTATTTATTTGTGTTTTTTTTAGTAGTCACTGTAATCTAGCCCTTGTGCAAGCTTTAATTTGTGTAAGCATGCTCCTAAATAAATTCTCAATATTTTTTTGTGACAGGTTGTTCCATTCTTTAGCAGCTTGTACTAGCTGTGCAGTGTTTGGTGGATTCTACCGGTGAGCTCTAATTCTTCTTTAAAGCATATCCCACAATTGCTCTGTAGGGTTAAGATGATGCACTCCAGAACAGTGATATGTTCTGCTTCAAGAAAGTCTATAATCATTCTGCTGGTATGTGCAGGCGCATTATCTTGTCATGAAAATTAAATTTTTTTTCATTGCACCTCTCCAGAGCCCAACTACAGTTTCTTGAACCAAATCAAAATACCTACGAGCTGTCAAAGTTGGTTGGATGAGAATTAAAGAAGTTTTTTTACTGATCATAATGCCTCCTTACAACCTGTCATTTCTCTTTTATATCTGTGAACAGATCTGGTCATTTCCGTTTTCGCCTATCTTCTTTGCTCTCTAAGTGCACAAATTCGTCGATCATCTGATTTTTACAAATTTTAGTTTCGAAAGAAAATAGCACATTTTGCCAATTTCTAATGTTCCAGTTTTGGTGTTAAAGACACCAATTTTAGCGATCAATATTGAGCTGTCTGGATAACTCGGGAAACCCGTAACTGTCTACTGCTGTATAGTCCTTGGGTATAAAGTCTTTCTCTTATCATTTTAACTGGAACACTCACACCTGTAGCTTCCAAAAGTTGCCTTTGGAGCTGTGGGTGAGAAATTGTTGGGTCTCTTCTAGATAATTGGCCAATGAAACGATCGTGGCGGGCCATTGTTACTTTTTGTGCACTTTGGCTTAGTCTCTTCTTAACCGTTCCTAATTCCTGATACCTAGCTTAAGTTTGATAAGATTTTGCGCCTGCGTTAACCCGGATAAGGCATATTTTCGATTTTGAACGCAAAAGTAAGTTTATTTATTTTTGTTTAACGTACAACTAAAGAAAGTAATCTATAACGTACCGAGCTGTGTTATCTGATTGTTTTATCGGTTTCTTCATTTTCATTAAAAACCTTTATTCTTCGCAACAATAACAAGTTTTTCCAAAAGAAATAAATATTGGTTTGAAATATATATGGTGATTCCATATATGTTTCGTTGTGTGTAGATATAATATAAAGATAACTAATTTTTACTTACATATCATCCCCAATCGACAATGATATAGAACCTTGAACTGAGCTGCCATATGCGATATATCCGAAGAATCCCATCGACGTGTATAAGATAGTGATGACAACCATACCTTTGTTTAAAACTCCAAAAGGGCTTCCAAAGTTTTGCGGCGTTTTCATTTCATTTTCTAGTGGCATTATCTGAAAAATATACAACAAATAAGTAAATCATTGAAATGAAGTTGAATGCTCGAATAAATGAACTTTGAAAAATAAGGCTATTATCGAGCACAAGTTAATTAAATCTAGCCCAAGTACTTTCGCTTAAAATAGCATTTTCAGGGGCATCTGAAATAAGCCAAGAAAACGTTTTTTAGATGAAGGAAATTAGTTAACTTCGATAAAAAACTCGAAGGTAATGGATGAAAAAAGTTTTTGAGATTAACGTTTTAGACTTACTTCGTCAAATATAAACTATCCGGCAAGCGTAGAATGTGGAAACATTTTGCGATTTCTCAGAGGAGTGAAAAATATCAAAGTTTTTTGTTATTAGATGTCTCATCACGACGATATATTCTTTTTTGTGGTTCCTTCAACTAAAGAAAAATATTTTGAGTAAAACAGTATTTCCTACCATATGAAACTGAGCAAAATATTTGTCCAAATTTCTTCTCAGAAATATAAAAACATCAATTTAATGAAGTAGTGTAATATAGGTACAGTTAATGCTTGTTGAAAAATTTCCTCGCAAGCGTATGGGCAAATAAAGCACAAAAAAGGCTAAATATAGAGAAGTTAAAGTCGGAAGAAGACGATTTTAAGAAAAATGAAGAACGAACAAGAATCTCGTAACCAATAATGCAGAAAATACGACAGCGCGGCACATAATCCAAGGAAAAATTGTGGACAGAAGGAGTGCTGGCAAAAGATGAATATCTTTACTGAAGAATCTAAAAGAATGATATGATTGCCAACCTACATAATACAGATTACAGTTCAAGAAGAAAAGAACGTTATGTCACCGTAAAGTCCTTCAGTTTATGTTTCTTTTTTGCAAATATTTCCCAAGTCTAACTTTTAGTAACAACACTTAAACCCAACATTAATTTATGTCAATTAAAGGGAAACACTTACCACACCGATTGCTTCTAACGCAAACAAAACAGTTCCGAAAAACAAGGGATAATTCTTCACCTCCCCGAACGGTTCTTTGCCATCAAAGGTAAAGTCCCTGCTGAACATGTAGTAAGCGATGATTCCAAAACTGACCATTGTGATAATATTGGCGAACGTAGACAGTGGTGCTAGATATTTCAAATTTTTCACGCAGTTGATCAGTATCAGAGGTAGAAGGGCAGCCAACATTACTAATTTTACGTTGACGGTGATACCGTGTGCTGCGAAAACGCCTGAGATGTTATCTCCGATGAAGATTGTGTACACAGCACCAGAACCCAGTTGATAAATTAGAAGGAATACGTTTACCATGTGCCTGAAATAAAAAAATAGATAGAAGTTAAGAAGAATATTATATTTATTTAATTTTTAACTTAACTTTTAACATGCAATGAATTTAATATCACTCAGATGACAAGAATTATTTTAAAATATCATAAGATTTTAAGTAAATAACAAACTGATTCATATATTAGTTTATTGTTGATAGGAATTCCTTTATAGTCTGGCGTATTGGTCTAACAATCTTAGTAATTCCTAATAATCCAACAACCTATATAGAGAAAATAACAAAACCTCATTAATAAAACCTCTCTTCTCCTTGATGTAAAACAAACTTTATTTCCTCGTGAAAAGTGTTCTACACCTAGAATATATGGACTAACTAAAATTTACGAATCCGATAGTCCTTCATGTCCTAATGTCAGTGTATATAACTGTCATCGTCACATCCATACTCCACAGAAATCAATCTCCTGCTCAATCTCAATCCAAAGATCCAGTCCTTCATCATACGAAAGCTTTTCTTTCTTACATCGAAGGTGTCACTGACAAAATCGACAAAGTCTTCAAGGTTCCTACAGCCTCTGACGCTTCTCGCATTTCGTCCACCATCGTTTTCTGTCCATCGATTCATCTTCTTTTATGGCTCTATCTCTCATTATATGCCGTATATTTTCTTCCCAGCAACTGGAGGCCTTTAGCTTCTCCTTCTTTGTTTTGGTATGTAATTTAAAGTTTTCTTTGTCCATCTATCTTCATTCATTCGCTTCACGTGACCATACCATACTAGTTGTCTAGTTTCAATTCTGTCTACACTGGAATATACAGTATTTGTCCTTCCTTCTAATATCTTTATTCCTGGTATTGATCTTTTTTGGATACACCACACGCTCTTCTTAGAAAATCCATTTGTACTACTTCTATTCTTTTTTTATCTTTTTTCGAGATATGTCAACTTCTGCCCCATAAGTCATAATAGGCTCTATCAAGGTTCGATAGATTGTCAATTTCGTTTCTTGTCTAATATCTTTAGACCATATTAGAGAGTTTAAAATGTTGAACGCTTTTGTCCCTGCTACGTTCTGTTTTCGATGTCTCATTTGGTAGTGCCTTCTTTAGATATTATAGATCCTTCTTCTTCTAGTTTCATGACCGATATCGATGACTTTATTGACAGCAGCTCTAAATAACGATGTAGTTGATTTTCCATACCATTGCATTAGATTTTTCAGCCATGATGTTCTTCTACTACCAGGACCACGATTACCTTTTATCTTTCCTTGAATGATCAGATGTGAAAGATCATATTTTTCAGGTTATCTCATAATGTGGCCGAAGCATTCCAGCTTGCGTTTCTTTATTATATTGACCAGTTGTGTTGTTTGGTTCAGCCGTCTAAGGATCTCGTCATTTCAAACTCTGTCGACCCAGCTTATTTTCAGTAGTCGTCTGTATACCCACATCTCAAAGGTTGTCAAGCGTTTAAGGATAGCCTCAGTTTGAGTGTCATTCGATAGCCGCAAGATGTCATTCGAACTCTAAGGTTAATGCTAAGATCGTGACTGCAAAGTACGTTTAGTTTAGTTTACTAGACATGTAGTCCATGTCTTCCTCATCATTCGCTACGACTACCTAATTATCTGGGAAAAATAAAGTTGCTAGACACTTACCACCGCCTATGTCTATTCCCATTTCGGATACTTATTTTCTCCATTGCTCTAGCGATGATTGAATATATATTTAAAATAAGGTCAGAGATAGACAACATCCTTGTTTAAGCCCCTTTGTTATTGGAAATGATGCAGATATAAAGTTTTCTTCTTTAATGACACTTCTTGCATTTTTGTATATATTTACGATAGCATCCGCATACTCCTATTGCGATAAGGTACCGTATCGTATGCCTTCACTAAACTTATTAAACAATAGGTGGGTAGATAGATTCCTTTACCATCAGTTCATGATCTTCCCGCACGAAATCATTTTGTTTTTCTATGGTTTTGTATTCTGATTTTATTCTTTCTTTTATTATTCGACCGTACAACCTCCCACTGAGCTGATAACAGTTATTCCCCTATAATTAGAGCATTTGCGTTTATCCCCTTTCTTGAGTATTGAGCTGATGTATCCAACCTTCCAATCACCAGGGATATTTTGTACTTTAAAGCATTTGGTAAATAGTTGAACCAACAACCCATGTTGATATGTCAAGAAAAATAAAGACAATATTTACCCCCAATAAAAACTTTCACCTCTTGTCTGATTAGTCAAAGACGACATTCCAAATAAGCAACACGGAGTCTATGAAATTTCTTAGGTATACTGCCCTTGATCTTATAAAGGCCAAACCAATAGCAGAATCCAAAATAGTATTTAAGAACATTCCATTTCTGTTCGCAATTTCGATTCAATTTCAGCTCTAGATCAATTCCATTTTAATACAGGTCACAGAATTGACTTTAAAAACTCTAGAAATATAGCCTCTATCCTGTTCTATAAACGAAGAATTATTTGAGGAGTCATAAAGCTTGAAAACGAACGAATTGTCTTAATAAAGGAGATGTTAGCACATGGTTGCTTTGGCCATGGAGATCACTCCTAAAGAACACATCGTTTGTTCCACCTACTATTGAAAATCCGTCAGGAATTTTCACGCAAACCCTCACCCAAACACGACGTCATCTTTGAAGATATACATGAACCATCCCCTTACTCAGTAACAGAACAGTGAGTAGTGAATGGTGTAGTGAAGAGATCTGGGGGAATAGGAAACTAAGACTGAGAAAATTTTATCTCTAGAGCTTGTATTTTGCTCTTTGGTCGTTCTGGTAATACCAAATTCACTAAAAGTGAGATCATGTCTATAAACTGCTTTGATTTGAAAACACTTGGCGTTCTGCTGTTGATTTGATTTTTGTTCCTTCAAATTTTAATTTAAGTTTTTCTCTTTCCTCTGCTATTTGCATAATTTTAATTTTTACTTGCACGAGATTCATTTTACTAATTGTACTAATTTTTAATAGGAAACTTAATGTCAAACAATTCTACCTTTATCTATTTTTATCGTAGATATATTAATTTCTGAGACATTTTGAACATGAAGAGTCCGTGACGTAGATTTTGCATTCTATGTTTTTTTTCAGTTCCCACAACTGTCTCAGCTGGAACATAGTCAAAATCTAATAAACAACCTTTTAAAAACACAAATTCAATGACTGATGCACAACAATCAACACTACATATCTCTCGACTGGACTATTATAGGTATATCTAATTCAGAGGATATATCCTACAATAATCAGCGGACATGAGTAAGGAAGTAATCGTTACATGGAACTGTTATGCAAGGTTTAAAGTAAGGTCGAATGTAGTTCTGACCTTTCCTTTTATGGATTTCAAGTGGCATTGAGACATTTTATAACTCTTTTAGCTATAAAACACGAGCGGTTAACTAGAAAATTTTTATTTACAATATGTGGCTGGTTTGAACAATTTCATTCTTCTGATTTATGTATAAAATATAAATACAATACTATGATGCAAAGTAGACAAAGACTTGGCAATAAAAAGAGAAGAAAGAACAATATATAGGTTCGAAAACGTGGCTATATTTTAATACTTAGGTATTATATTTACTAGAAAACCAACAATTCTTCTACTTTTTAGTAGTATACCTTCTAATGTTGTAGTGTTGTAGTCATCAGTTCTTTTATCTCTTGTGTGATCTATTGTTTATTTTTAGATTATGTGTCTTCTTGAATTTTTTGTTTTGTGATATTTCTTAAGATCTCCTCTAATTTCCTCCTTTTATCTGTTGCTGTCTTTTGCTTTTGCCTTTATACTTTCTACTGAACGTCTTTGTGTACTTGTTTCATGTTTGCTAGAACTAGATTGTTGTAGAACGGAATCTTTGATTTATTACTATGTAATCTATTTGGGTTCTTAATATAATTTCACCATTATCTCTAGGTGCTTTCCATGTATAACACTTCAATTTGGGAGTTTCGTTATCTTTGCAAAAACTGAACTAGTCATCAAAATAGCAAGAGATAAGTCAGCGCAAATCACAGAAAAGTCACAGATATTAATCCGCAAATGAACAAGCAAAATTGCTTATAAAGAGAAGAAGAATAAGAATTTACAAGAAAGGTGAAAGTGAAACACGACATACACAGTTTGGAGCCCTTAATGGTTTAGAAACCTGAGAAGCCCTGTTTACCTTTAATATACCGGCACAGTGATGCATATATGTCATCCAAGATACGTATGTTGGCTTCATTGACTATGCTAAGGCCTTTGACGGTGTTAAGCGTGAGAAGCTACTGGAAATCTTGCAAAACCTAAACATCGATTATCAAGATGTTCAAATAATAGCAAAATTATACAAAAGAATAAAAATCGAAGACTACAAGTCAGATGAAATAAGTATTTTCTAGCCAATACTATTCAATTTAGACTAGGAATATATTTTTCAATTTTCAATTTAGACTATGAATAGGAACTGCAAGAATAAGAAAATACATTACTTACGGCGCTATAAAAGCGATCCGTCGTTGAAATGGAGGTCCTTCTTGGAAGCCGGCCAAGGCGGTTTCCGGGTAGGACATCACAGCCACTTTCCGTCTTTTACACAGCTCATATTCAGATCTTATCAGAAGATGAATACAGTGAGTACATAGAAATCCGATAACCGCCGTCCCTACTGCTCCCAAGAGGTATCCTGAGTGGTAGAAGGCCATCGGCATGGCGAGAATTCCTGTTCCGAGACTTCCTTTGAGAAGATGCAAGAAGGTTTCTGTATCCCTAAAAAAAATTATATGTTACTTAATAAATAGAAAACTTTATATACAGTGTACTTGTGTTTGTATGTTTGTGCGATGGAAAGCGGTGGAAAAACTACTAGCGATATCAAAATTTTCTTTTGCTCTGGCACTAGTAGGTACAAAATTTATCAAAATCTTTCAGATTTCCATGTGAGACAACTGAACATCTTACAATTAGATATCTAATTAAGAGAAGAAAAAAAGATGGTAAGTGATAAGCTTTATTATGCATTTTTAAGTTGTCATTCAACACTCCCATTATGAAAACTTTAATTAATCAATGTCTAAACCGCTCTTGAGATTAATAAGAATAAAGTCAACTTATTTTTTAGGAAATACGAGGAAGTGTTTCCCTTTAAGAATTTTTATAAAAACATTTTGGCAATGGCTAAATTCCATGATTGATGAAAGAGATCCATGATATTTTGAGGTTAGAATTGTTAGAGCATCAACCATATTCACCAGATTTTTCCCCTAGCGACCTCCATCTGTTTTAATATGCAAATATTGATAAGGCAAATGTGCTATAAAAACCACATCGACTACATAGAGAAGATCGCAACCTTTTACCGAATGTATATTCCTATATACTCTATAAGTGTATTATTAGAGTGCCTTACGCTGGCTGGCCTTCGTTGTTCGGGGTAGAATTTTGTGTGGGAAGCCTTGTATCCAGGACTCCCACACAAGTACTTTGCTGATAAGAGAGCCATTTCAGAACCTGCTAAATTTGATAGATGACCTCAATTCTCACCCCTTTATACGTAACATAACAGAAAGTGGTGAAAAACTTACTAGAGACACCAACATTTCTTTAGCACTATCATCGATGATACTAGTGGGTACAAAATTTGTATAACCACTATCTAAAGTGAAGACATGCTCAGTACCAGACGCTGCGCTGTCCCGTATTGGGCAGAGTGTGTTTTGTGATCTTTGACACTTAAGACCACGATACCAATATCAGTCAGTTTCCATTAGTGTTATAACGAGAGTCTTTGCCATTTCAGCATCATCCTCTCCTTCCAGTCTACAATATTTGGTGAGCAGAATATTCTTAGAGTTCCTTGCTTCGTATGTACAATGCCAAGTTTACAGAGGAACAAAATGTGAAACGGACCATTCTCTTGTAAACACATAAACATTTTTCAATTTTCCTATTAGCAACACATTCTGAAAATCTAGTAGATCCAGATCGAGAAATTTGTGAGAAAAGTATAAATAGTATAAAAGATTAGTCAACAGCATTCCTATATAGTATAAGATTAAGCTTCAAGTATCTCTTTAGTAGACGGATAGAATTACAAATAAAGAAAACTGAAAGGGTTGGTAAAGAAACAGAACTAATCACCACTATACAAATCAGAAAACTTTAATACCTAGGCCACGTGATGAGGGGACTAAAATATTAAATTTTGAAGAAAGAAGATCTGCTGGTCGAAGGCAGAACTCATGGTTGAAGAATCTACGTGATTGGTATCAATGCAGATCGATTGATTTGTTTAGAACAGGAAGTTCAAAAATAAAAACAGCCATTATGATTGCCAACCTCCGTAGGGAGACGGCACTCTAAGAAAAAGAAGCGTCTTTAGTATACATGAAGCCTTGGCTATGGCTTTAGAAGCCTTGAAAGTACAAATACTTGATCGAAGGAATGCGAAAGAATGGTAGAGTGAAATATTAGAATAAATATAGAAGAGAAAGAGCCGACACAAAACCATTAGGTTAATGAGAAAAGACACAGAAAATCAAAAATACTACACAAGATGCTGTAGAGGTGCAAAAAAGCAGCTCTAAAGGCAAAAAATGAAACATGGGGCTGTAAATGTAAACAATAAGATCAAAGCATAGGCTCTAGTAGAGCAATCAAACCATGGACAACAATAATTTTCCGTAAGAACAAATAGAAAGAAAAAAGTTTATATCAGCCTAATACCGCTATAAGATTGAAAAGATAATTATCAAAATATGATTGATTGAAGGTATTCCACAATTTCTTACCGAAGTAATAATGACTAGTCTCTCCAATCAGACACACCTTTATAAAAGAAAATTCAATAAATGAGATTTAAGAAGACTCAATAAAAACTGGATAAGAGCTGCGCAAAGTAGACGAGATTGGAAACATGAGGAAGAGGCCTACGTTCAGCAGTGGACTCTTGAGGCTGGATGATGAACAGAAGTAAGGAAAATCCTAACGGCAGTGTACAATGGAGGAGCTTTTGGGCCTACAGGACTGTTCATTGAACTTTTCAGATATGGACCGGACACGCTACTGTAACTACTAGCTTTTGTGTTGCTATACAATTGCTTTTTGAGAGACAAAGAATTGCCATTTGAATGGAAAACCAGAACGAGTCGGAGCAATCACTTAAAAATAGTTTCTAGTAACTGGATGGTAACAGCTCAATAATCAAGAGATTTGAAGAAGGCCTATGTCCAACAGTGTACAGTAACAGCTCATAATGATGATAATAAATAATAAATTTGTTTGGCATAAAATAAATAAATGGCAGAATTGAAGGAATACAATAATATACCAGCAAATGAGTGGGAAAGATACCTAAGGGAACTGTTTAAAGGAAAGGAAAATAATAATTAACATAATAACGTACCTGAACTAAGACATGCCATAGAATAAGTTTCCAGAAAGCAGAAATAGCCACAAATTCACTCAAAACTAGAAACGCACCAGGACCAGGTAAAATAACCAACCACCCTAGAGATGACACAACTTATACAAAAACTAATATTGCACTGCAAGATACTAGACGCATGGAGAAACATACCAATGTTCTAGAAAGGAGGTAAAGAAGACCCCAACAATTATAGAGGTCAAAATCTAGTGATCCCCGCACTTAGGCTTACTACAAAAGTCCTAACCAACAAAATCAATAAACTAACAACTTTATCAGATGAACAACAAGAATTCAGACTTGGAAGTTCCTGAGTAGACGCCGCATTTGTACTAAGACAAATTAAAGAAAAGGCCATCGAGTATAATAAACCAGCATATCTATGTTTTATAGACCTGACTAAGGCTTTCGATCGCATCCAAGTCGAAGACATCTTACACCTACTGTATAAAAAAACATACCAATCAATATTATACAAACCATCGAAAACATCTACTTACATAATCGAATACAGGCAAAGATAAATGGAAAACTAAAAGGCAGGAAGCAAGGTTTAAATATGGAAATATATATGACTAGTTATGAAGATGTTGAAGAAGTACGACAACAAAGCTAAAAAGCAAGTAAAACAGCGGAATCTCTTAATGACATAATCTTGAAGAACAAACAACTAAGATAAGACACAAAAACAAGAATATATAAAGCAGCAATTAGACCTTTATCAACATACACGACGGACACAACAGATATAAAAATACTTCGACGAATATGAGGGAGAAGTCTGTTGGATAGGGAGAGAAGCAAAATCATAAGAAGAACATAAGTTTAATGGGTGACAAAATGTAAACAGGAGTGGAACGAACACATCAGTAGAATGGCAGAGGATAAAATAGTACGAATAGCACGGGATAAGTCACCAAATGGACGAAGAAGTATTGGCAGACTGCGATAATTTAAACAATTTAGCTTTTAGCGGAACCACATACACCTACGAGTCCGACACCATTATGAGGGTGGCGTGTTACACGAAGCATCGCGGGACCTCCAACCTCCCCGTAATACCTGTGTTGCCTTACGAACACCCCGTCCGTTATCCCCCCAGGGTCGGAAAGGTGAGCCCATGTAGAAGAACTCGACCTAGAACGAGACTCTCCTTTACCACTCTTAAATCTCCAGGTGGGTACGTGCCGAAACCCGGCGTGCCTAATGGGGAAGATGTGCTTACGGGCTCAGCTCGTTCAAGCTCAGCTGGTTCCGTGGAATGAAAGTAGAGTGGTCCCACGAGAGTCTCGTCTCGAAAACTATGGTCTGTTTTTTAACCAGGAGGAGTAATACAAATTTTCCGCGCCGTAATGCTTGTTTGCAATTGGTCCAACTTATGCAAGTTTACTCCACTAAATTATGACATATTGACACTAATGACATTTGTGAAATTTATTTATTATTATTATTTTCCTCTAATATATAAATCGATTTCTGACTGTTTAAGTTGTTTGTAATAACTTGGACTCATAAGAAAAACAGCAACTATCTTTTAAATTTAGTGTATACTTGTTAAGAAGCATTCCATTTTGTTTCAATCACAATAAAAGAACATTAGTAGAGTTAATGGATTTTGGGAACAGCTATGACCTTGAAAATGCCACAAAGAATATAACTAAATATCTCTTTTCTTACTCAGACTCTTTAAAGTCTTTTACAATATTTTAGAATCGAAGATATGTAATTATATTATTATTGTATTGGATTTTGACAAGAGCTATGCATTATGCCTATTTAGTACACAAGTTTTATGTGAAATGTTCAAGGTCATAGCTGTTCCCAAAATCCATTACCACTAACATAATGTTGTGTTTTAGTTTGATTATATGATACACTTGGTTTTGTTCTTCCTGGTTGTAGATTATCACAAGAAAACTGCAAAATTATGCAAGAATGTAACATAATAGATTGGACTTGTTGATTATCTCACAGAAATCCCAGTATTTTTTAGTAAATTTTATTTGTTGATAACAAATGGGACAAACTCACTGTCAAAATTAAACAAGAATCCAGCATTAAAGAAATTGTAAGTACACACTTATTTATTCAAAGTATCTGGTAAGAAAAAAACTAGATTCAAGAAATTGATCATACCAGAATAAGAATATGGTCTACTATTAAAAGACAAATTTCTGAGAAAAAACCATACTTAGATCTGTAACATTATTGACTTTCCCGATCAAAATATTCTCTAAATTATAATTAAGTACCATAGACTTAAGAGATCTATAAAACTGGATCACCCGATATTTAAATATATATACATGGGACCAAATGTGAAAAACGTACTTTTTTATTGTAA